GTGACCTCAAATGACAGGGTGAGGTCTGAGGCCCCAGTGTCTCAGAATGTGACCTTACTGGGAAACAGGGTCAGGGCGGATGTAACCAGCTGTGAGGGCACACTCAGCGGGGTGACCTCTGATCCGGGGTGACTGGTGTCCACAGGCAAGGACACAGAGAGGGCACACAAAATGGAGAGAAGACAGCCACGTGACCCCAGAGGCGGCGATCAGAGTGATTTGTTCCTGAGCCAGAGTCATCCAGGAGCATACCCCTGGTGCCTCCTCGACCTTGATCTTGGCCTCCAAGCTGTGAGAGTCCATCTCTGCCGTCTGAAGCCTCTTAGTCTGTGATGCTTTGTCACGACAGCCACAAGAAACTAACACGAATGCAAAAGGCCAATTTCTGGGCTCAGGCAGTCGAACCTCCACAGAAGGGGCTTCTGTAAAGAGGCCCAGATGGACGTGACGCAGTCTGTCTCATCTGTCGGCGGCCAGGAATAAGCCTCTTCTTGGCAGACTGCCCTGGTGCTGTTATCCTTGACCTTGTGGGCACACCGTCCATCGCATCATCACAGTGACCACAGGGACACAGCTCCTCCCAACGCAGCGTGGGGCGACCACTGGTGTACTGCTCTCTCACCTGGGACACCCAAGGCCACCAGCTGCCTTGTCGACTAAACTCCCAACGAAGGGAGGCAATTTCTCGATCTGGGAGCATTTTGAGAAACCAAGCTGTGAACAACCAAATGAACAGGCAAAACAAAAGAGCCTGGGGTTCATTCCACTCAAGCACCTCCAGCCAAGCTGGTGCCCACTAAGCAGAAAAAGAAGGGAATTTGTAGAGAACCAATGTATGGACACCAAGCGGGGAAGGAGAGGGTGGGATGAATTGGGAGATCGGGACTGACGCATATATACCCTACTATGTATAAAATAGGTAACTAATGAGAACCTACTGCCCAGCAGAGGGAACTCTACTCAACGGTCTGTGGTGATCTAAATGGGAAGGAAATCCAAAACAAGAGGAGACATATGTGTACATACAGGCCTTCCTGGTGGTTCATAGGTAAGGAATCTGCCTGCAAAGCAGGAGAGAGGGGTTTGATCCCTGGGTTGGGAAGGTCCCCTGGAGGAGGGCATGGCAACCCCCTCCAGTATTCTCACCCGGAGAATCCCATAGACAGAGAAGCCTGGTGGGCCACAGTCCACGGGGTCGCAGAGAGTCAGACGTGACTAAAGTGACTTAACACACACACACACGCGCGCGCGCACATGTATATGTATAGCTGATTCACTTTGAGGGACCACAGAAACTAACAACATTGTAAAGCAACTATAAGCCAATAAAAATTAATTTTAAAAAATTTAAAGCCCACAAAAAATAAAGAAGGGGATTCGGTGAAAAGAGTTGGTACTAAACATGACTGTCATCCTAAGGCATACACCTATTTTCAGTAACCGTGTGACGTCGGCTTACAGCAGACTTTGAGTAGCCACCATGGAACAGTCTGGGTCCTTCCACCGCACAGTGACGAGCTGCCTACCATGTGTGGGGTAGTGGCCACAGCCGGGAGCTGGCAGGCATTACACATGGCAGTGCTTACTCTTACATCAATGATCTTGCAGAACAGGTGTAGAGGGTTGAACAGCGCTGCTCAAAGACGTCACCTTGCTTGGAAACAGTCTTTGCAGATGTAGTTAGTTAAGGATCTCCGGTATTCTGGACTTAGGGGTGGCCCTAAATCCAATGACAGGTATCCTTAAAGAAAATAGAGGGAGATTTGGGACAAACAGGCATGGTGGTGGGGAATGCCATGGGGAAACAGAAACATTTTGAGAGTGGAGAGAGGCAGCCTTGTACAGCGCCAGGGAATGCCTGGAGCTCCCAGTAGCTGAGAGAGGCAGGAAGGATCTTCCCTGGAGCCTCTGGAGCGAGCACATCCCCACCCACACCCTGATGTAGGACTTCTGATCTCCAGAGCTGTAGTGAAAAGTGAAAGTTGCTCACTCATGTCCAACTCTTTGCGACTCCATGGACTATACAGTCCATGGAATTCTCCAGGCCAGAATACTGGAGTGGGTAGCCGTTCCCTTCTCCAGGGGATCTTCCCAACCTAGGGACTGAACCCAGGTCTCTCAAATTGCAGACTGATTCTTTACCAGCTGTGGGATGGCACACTGACCCCTGCTGGGCTGCAGATCTGCTGTCCTTGGTGCTGACTTATCACAGCAGACTTTACTGTCCTCACTCTATAAGGAGGGAAGAGAGCTGATCCCGGCTGCCAGGTGCCTGGTAAGTGGCAGAGTCCATGTTCGGATTCAGCTCAGCCTGATTCCAAACCCATGCTCTCTCCACTCATTCTTAAGTTCCAGCCGAACACCAACCAGGCCACTCCACCAGCAAATAGAGGCACCTGGGACCAGGACTGGAGAAGGCAATGGCACCCCACTCCAGTACTCTTGCCTGGAAAATCCCATGGACGGAGGAGCCTGGTAGGCTGCAGTCCATGGGGTCGCGAAGAGTCAGACACGATTGAGCAATTTCACTTTCACTTTTCACTTTCATGCATTGGAGAAGGAAATGGCAACCCACTTCAGTGTTCTTGCCTGGAGAATCCCAGGGACAGGGGAGCCTGGTGGGCTCCTGTCTATGGGGTTGCACAGAGTCGGACACGACTGAAGCGACTTAGCAGCAGCAGGGACCAGGACTTTCTGTAAGAGAATGAGTTTCCCAGACTCCACCTGAGATGCCCCAATGACCCACCTTTTGCTAGAGCCAAAAGCGGAAGGGACGCTCAGACTTTGCAGTTTTCTGAGGCGGCCTTTCATCTCCCCCTCTGCGCTCCACCCCAGGCTCCGAGACATGCATAATTCATTCCTGGGCACCAATCAACTGTGAGGTGCACAGCTGACTGGCAGCGGGAGAGTCCGAGCAGAAGGAGGGGGACCCCCAGAGGGGCGAACCCTCGAACCCCTTTCTGAGGGCTGTACTTTATTATTTTCTAATCAAAGCACCCAGATCCATACCTGCTGTCAAGGTTGGAAGGCGGGGGCAGCAATACCCCCAAGGCCTCAGAAAGCAGAGAGAAAACAGAAGCAGGAGCACCTACTCCAGGCTGGGAAGAAGCAGCAATCATCCCCAAGCCTCTTCCGCACCAGAGCGCTGAGCCGAGGCCCCGGAGCAATTAATTTAGGAAATTGTCATCCTAGGCTCTCTAGCCGACTCCAGACCTTGGAGGGGCTGTGACGACCATTTGTTATCATTACACATTGTTATTTAGTTTGATTGCCTGTGATTATTCTGATTATTTCAATTCCATTGGCAGAGGGGGCAGGCAGCTGCAAGTTCCACCGGGATTGGCTCCTTGGTTCCTTCCTTCCTTCCTTCCAAGGAGACTTTGAAGGGCTCTTTCCTGGTGTGGTGGCATCAGCTTGAGGTGGGGGGATGGGGTCTGGGTCCCCGGGCCTAACACGTGGGGCCCAGGTCCCCCTCCTCTGAAGTCCCCATGACCTACCTGCTCTGTCTCCTTTGCTTTCCCGCCCCTTCAAGGTGGCGTCCTCACCCTCTGGCACACAGCTGCACCTGGTCTGAGGCTGGAATCTTTGTGTGGGCATGTTGTATGTGCACACGTGTGTGCCTGTGTGCACTGCATGCCTGTGCACATGTGTGCCTGCATCTGCCTTGAGATCCACCCCTTCCCTGAGCAGTTCGAGCAGGCCCTGGTCCTTCTCATCAGGCCCTCAGCATCACGCTCTCTGATAGAGTTTAATAATTGTTCTGTTGATTGATTCATTGACCTTGGGCAAACCACTTAAATCCTCAGCCGACTCATCTGCCAGAGGAGAAAATGTGTGAGAGGTCCTTTAAAACTCATGAAGCATTGTACAGACATAAGGATTATCTCTGGAACTAGGAACAGGAGACATGGAGTTCAGTGCTTGGGAGACAAGGCCCCTTCTGGGTCTAAACTCGCATGCACGTGACTGCCCTGGACACAGTGACTCAGGCACTCAAAGGGCCCATTTGGTCCATGCACTCCGCTGTCCTACAGAGGGTCACAGTGGCATTGACAGGAAGCCGTGAGTCTCTGCTATCCTCTCTCCCACACTGTTCATACAGATCCCAAGGAAAGACAGCGATCACTTCACCGCCCATCCATAGCTGCAGTCCAGCCTCCAGAGCACCTGGGGGACCATCCAGCATGCCGCAGCCCCTCCTTCTCCCATAATTATATCATCAAGACTGAGCATTACTGAAGTCAGGAGGCCAATTATCCCCCAATCCATTTTGAGTAGGTAAGTCAGGAATTGTTCCTGGTGAGACCTCCTGTGGATGAGGTTGAGCCAACCTGACCTTCACTATGCAAATCCGCTCCAACTGCCCAGAGCACTTAAGGGTTTAGGTCAAAAACTAAAAGACAAACTCCTTGGGGAAGGCTGGGGGGAAGAGTTGGAGGGAATTGTTCACATATTGTCCACAGAGCCTGAGCTCCCTGCAAAGCCTCAGCATTTGCCTGATGACCTACTGCTAATGAATGAATGAATGAGCGAATACACAGACACCTGGGAGTGTGTGTAATTGAGGAGAGCAGACAGATACCTGCAGTTTCCATACAGTTTGTTTTCCCTGTTTCTCCAACCGTGCAGAGCCCCCTTCCCTCCATTCTCTACAAACTCAGATGCTGTCTCCTGACCCCATCATGGGCCTCCTCCCTCAGCCCCTGCCTCCCCACTGCACACAAGTTCCTGGCTAAGCAGTGCTGGGTTTCCAACCTTTGCTGGAGGGACCTCGGTCCCACATCCTATAGCCCCAGGGCCTCTGATGATATTCTTATAACCTAACAATAAGGAGCCCAGATGACCCCATGGGTCCCACAGCAGAGAACACATTTCCTTTTTAACAAAAGCCTCTCACACCTAGCCGGGGGTAGCTGTTGGTGTGGATGGAGAGAGCGCTGCAGTCATCCTGGGGCCACATTTCAGGACCCCCTCCCCCGCAGTCACATTCTGGAGGCAGTTATGGAACCAGTACAGGGTCTCCAGGCACATGGGACCTGAGGGGCATCTCCCAGAACGTGCCAGCACACCCGATCTACCTGTTCAGGTAACTGGAAACTAAAATATCGTTCAGAGGGACAGTCATCATTCCCATCACTGCCTCACCTTTTTTTTCTACAAGGAAACAACTCATGTAGGAATGGCCTCTGAATTCCAGGACTTCGAGGAAAAAAAAACAAGAAGTGCAAGTATTGTCCCTGAGCTGTGCTTTAACTGACAACGGGTCACAATGTTCCCCTTACGCCTTATGTTGATTCCAACAACAGGAACACTTTTCTTGTCTGTGTCTGTGTGCACATATGCAGGGAGAGGCTGAGGGAGGGGTTGCAAAAGGTGAGAGGTTTTTATATTTAGCTACTTCACTTCTCATTTTGAAACAATTTCAGACTTAAGAGGAAAGGGGCAAGCCCACATGCCTGTAACCAGAGGCCACCCCGGGATTTGCCAATGGTCCTGCCACAAGATCCAGTCCCAGACCACTCGTCCCTTTTGGCTTTGACTCATCTCTAGTTTCTTTCCATTGGGAAAATTTTTCCTGTCTTTCCTAGACTTTCACAAGCTTAGCATTTTTTAAGAAAACAGAATAACTAGGCATTTTGTAGCAAGTGATTTTGATTTGACCAACATGTCCCCCGATTTGTGGATTTAAGGGGAAGTCACAAAGTGAGGCTGTGTGCTCTGTGACTCTCACTGGCCAGAGCAGAAGGTCCCTGGTAGGGCAGCAAGGACCACGGGGCCCAGGTGGTGTCCACCGAGCATCTCTGCTGCAAAGTTACTCCCCTACCTTTGTGAAAATCAGCATTTTCTGGGAGACAGTCTAAGATGTAAAGTCCTGTGGCTCTCCCAACCTTCACCCACTCATCAATACTTCTGGTCTGAGTTAATTATCACTATGAATGTGCGAGTTGACTGCATGCCTAGTCCTCAGTCGTGTCCAGTGCTTTGGGACACCCTGGACTGTACCCCCACAGGCTCCTCTTTCCATGGGATTCTCCTGGCATGAATGCTGAAGTGAGTTGCCATTTCCTCCTCCAGGGGATCTTCCCGACCCAGGGATTGAAGCCACGTCTCCTGCATCTCCTGCTCTGGCAGGCGGATTCTTTACCACTGAGCTACCTGTGAAGGTAGCAATTGTTTAATGCTATTGTTCCTTCTGCCTTTATTAGCTGGCATCCTGCCATCAAGAGAGGGGCCTTGGGATTTTCCTGGTGGTACAGTGATTAGGACTCCTCATTTCCAGAGGAGGGAGCATGAGTTCAGTCCCTGGTTGGGGAACTAGGATCCCACATGCAACACGGCCAATAAACAAACAAATAATTTTAAAAAATTAAAAAACAAAAGATGGGATCTCTTCATTTCTTCATCCACCCAGGCAGCCCTACTTTATTCATCAGGTTATGCCCTCCTCTCTTGTTTTGTACCTGGAATTGTCTCAAGTTCGGCCAGCGGGAGTCCCTTCAAGCTGGCCTCCATCTTTGGGACACATCCCGTCAGTTCTGGGAGTACATTCTTACCCCCAGGTACAAGGGGTTCCAGGTCTGGCTTGTTCCTTCCCTGCCCCAGCCCTGGAATCAGGCATCTCTTCAAGGAGGCCTTGCGCCTCAGCAGAGAATGCAGGCTAGAGACTTGCTGCTCCTGGGCCCCATAGCTGGGGAGACGTCTTGATGATTACAAGGGAAACCCTGAGTCTGTACCAATCTCTCTGCAGGGGGTTAAACAGCGCCCACCATTCCTATCTACCCAGAACCTCAGAATGTGACCTTATTTGGAATAGAGTCTTTGAAGATGCGATTAAGTGGAGGTCACACTGGGATTAGGGGGATGTCCTACATGCAATGACTGGTATTGTTAGGGGAACCACTGACCAAAACCACCCACCCTGGTCAGGCACCATAGTAACCACCTGCGTGGGTCATAAGAGGAGGTCCTGGTCAGAAATGCAGAACTAACAAGCTACCACCAACTGGAACAATTAGAGAAAGATCCAAAAGAGTGAAGGGGCATCCGAGGTGGTTCAGTGGTAAAGATTCCGCCTGCCAAGAAGGAGACGCAGGTTTGATCCCTAGGTAGGGAAGATCACCTGGAGAAGGAAATGGCAACCCACTCCAGTATTCTTGTCTGGACAGAGGAGCCTGGTGGGCTACAGTTCATGGGGTCACAAAAGAGTTGGACATGACTTAACGACTGGAGATGCCAATCCGTATGTCCTACCAACTTCCCAGAATCCTCCTTGCCAGAATCCACCAGCAAGTGATGCACATGCCTTCAGGAAGGATCCGGAGTCAGAGTGACTGGCCAGAGACAATCCAGAAATGAACCCAATTACCATAAAACCCGAGACTGCGAGCCACGAATAAAGTCTCTTGCTTTGTCATCAGGTGTCTCCTCAGACAATTCATTTCCAAGTGCTAGATAAGAATCCACTCTTGGGCTCCTGAAGTAGTCCCCCTTCCTGTAACGAAACCCTTCTAAGAAGAGAGACACACAACACACCCAAGGAGATGCTGCCGAATGCAGACAGCGGCAGAGATTGTAGGAAAGAGGCCACAAGCCAAGAAACAGCCTGACCCCTAGAGCCTGGATGAAGCAAAGAAGGACCATCCCCTAGAACCCCCGGGGGTGGAGCTCGACCACGCCCACACCTTGATTTCGGACTTCTAGCTTCCACAACTGGAAGAGAATAAATGTCTGCTTCTGTAAGTCCCCCTCCCACCCCCAGTTTGTGGCACTTTGTTGCAGAAGGCCCAGAAAACCAACACAACCCGCAAATGCAACCCACCCCTGCAGCTAATCCTCAGTTTTCCACTCTCATATCCCCGGGAGAAACCTTGCCTGTCTGCCCAGCTCTGTCCCCCGCAGGAGGCTGATCTCCAATCCCACCAGCCACTGCCCTTCTCTGACACACCCTGGAATGGCCTCAGCCACGTGCATCGGCAGAGAGACCACACCTTCTCTGAAGCTGTGGAGTCCGATGGTGACTCTGCAGTTAGAATTCCCAGAATGCCTTTCTGCTCCCAATGCTTCTGATGAAGATTTGGGGCCAGAAGCACGATGCCCTACTCCTCACCTGTAAGTCCTTTTTTTTAAAATTTTAAAAACTTATATGTTTCAATGCTATTGTCTCAAATCACCCAACCCTCTCCTTCTCCCACTGAGTCCAAACGTCTGTTCTTTACGTCTGTGTCTCCTTTGTTGCCCTGCACATAGGATCATTGGTGCCATCTTTCCAGATTCAATATATATGTTTTAATACACGGTATCTGTTTTTCTTTTTCTGACACTCCACTCTGTATAACAGGTTCTAGGTTCATCCACCTCAACAGAACTGATTCAAATGTGTTCCTTCTTACAGCTGAATAGTATTCCATTGTGTATATATACCAGAACTTCCTTATCCATTCATCTGCTAATGGATATCTAGGTTGCTTCCATGTCCGAAACATATACATTAGCTACCATATGTAAAACAGATATCCAGTGTAAAACAGATATCCAGTGTAAAACAGGTATCCAGTGTAAAACAGATATCCAGGTGCTCTGTGATGACCTGGAGGGATGCGGTGGGGGAGGGAGGTGGGAGAGGGGGTACAGGATGAAGGGGACAGATGTACACCTATGGCTGATTCATGTTGATGTATGGCAAAACCATCCTAATACTGTAAAGTAATTACCCTCTGATTAAAATAAATAATTTAAAAATATGATAAAAATACACATAAAATCTATCTTCATCTTCCTTAAGCATGCAGCTCCGTGGCATTAAGTATATTCACACTGTCCAGATACCATCCCCACCATCCATCACCAGAACTTTCTCATCTTCTCAAACTAAAATTCTGTCCCCATTAAACACTAACTCCCCTTCTCTCTCCCCACAGCCCCTGACTCCCACCCTTCTAATTTCTGTCTCTCAGAGTTCAATGACTATAGGGGCATCATATAAGTGGAATCATATAGGATTTGTCTTTTTATGACTGGCTTATTAAGGCTATGGTTTTTCCAGTGGTATTGTATGGATGTGAGAGTTGGACTGTGAAGAAAGCTGAGCGCTGAAAAATTGATGCTTTTGAACTGTGGTGTTGGAGAAGACTCTTGAGAGTTCCTTGGACTGCAAGGGGATCCAACCAGTCCATCCTAAAGGAGATCAGTCCTGGGTTTTCATTGGAAGGACTGATGCTGAAGCTGAAACTCCAGTACTTTGGCCACCTCATGCGAAGAGTTGACTCATTGGAAATGATCCTGATGCTGGGAGGGATTGGGGGCAGGAGGAGAACAGGACGACAGAGGATGAGATGGCTGGATGGCATCACCAACTCGATGGGCATGAGTTTGAGTAAACTCTGGGAGTTGGTGATGGACAGGGAGGCCTGGTGTGCTGCGATTCATGGGGTCACAAAGAGTCAGACACGACTGAGTGACTGAACTGAACTGTTTCATTAAGCATAGTGTCCTTGGGGTTCATCAGTATTGCAGCAAGCATTCTTCTTTCTATAAGGCTAAATTATATTTCATTGCATGGATGGACCAGTTTGTGTATCTGTTTATCCATCCAGGGCCACTTAAGTGGCTTCCACCTTTCAATTGTTGTGAATCATGCTGCTGTGAACATATGTGGACAAATATCTCTCGAGTCCCTGCTTTCCATTCTTTGGGGTCTATGGCCCATCATATCCTGTCCACCTTCCAAGATGAGGGCATCTGAGCTCTGCATGGGGACACCCAAGCTGGGGGAGGATCTGTACTAGCAGATACCTGCCCCTAGTAGGTGAGGATTCCCTGGTAGCTCAACAGCAAATGCAGGAGACCTGGGTTTGATCCCTGGGTCAGGAAGATGTCCTGGAGAAAGGAATGACTATCACTCCAGTATTCTGTGAGGAGACGACTCATTGGAAAAGACCCTGATGGTGGGAAAGATTGAAGGCAAAAGGAGAAGAGTTCAGCAGAGGATGAAATGGATAGACAGCATCACTGACTCAATGGATATGAATTTGAGCAAATGCCAGAGGAGATGGTGAAGGACAGAGGAGCCCAGAGTGCCGCAGTCTGGGTCACAAAGAGTTGGACACAACTTAGCAACTCAACAACAACAACCTCTAGGAGATACTCAGTGGCCAAGGATATAGGAAGAGATGCTGAACTCTGGTGGAAAAGCAGAAGCAAATGTTCCTTTGACCAAATACACAACTCAAAGTCGGAGACAAAGGCCACTGCAACCCTCTGTGCCGTCAGGAACAGAAGATACACATACAGAAGAACCCGCTGCCTCCTTCCCATCTTCAGATGGCTTCTTCTTTTAAAAATATGCTCAGAGGGTCATTTCTGTGCAGTGAGAGAACACGGAAAATACCAACAACTCGTGTGAAATACCAGCCAAGATGACTCAGTAGGAAAAAATAAAATGCAAATTGATCTCTGCCTCTCGGGAACTGATTTAAGAATCTGTTCAAAATCAAATTAACTTTTTGACTTATTTCCCCAGAAAACTCGGCAGGCAGCAATGAGACCTCAGGTGAACACTCTCGCCTGGGAAACACAAGAACACGGGGGGATGGTCACCTGGCTTCCAGGAGCTGTCACCCAGCTGTTGTGTCGAATCCCATGGAGAGAGAAGCCTGGCGGGCTGCAGTCAATAGGGTCGCCAAGAGTCAGACACGACTGAAGCAACTTAGCATGCACGCACGCACAGAGCACCAGAGGTACAATTACTCTCCATGTTCTACATGGAGGATGAAAAAAGAAAGCTTATCAGGGCTCAGCTCAGATGGGGTTTGGGGATAGCTAGGGAGGGAGGGTCTCATTTCAGTCTTATTTTGCAGTACTTTCTGTAGACAAGCACAGCAGGGAAGGGAAGGAAGAGATCACTTCCTGCTACAGGGGATTAGAGAGAGATTTGTGTTTGGGGAATATCCGTGGCCAGAGCCTCTGGAGCAGGACGCCTCCTGCAGGCAGAGGACAGGCCTGGAAGGAGGAGGGTCCCTGTAGGCCATTCGTGTAGGTGACTGCAACCTTGAGCCCAGTGAGGGAGCATGCTCTTTCTTCATAGGCAGTGGGGAGCCGTTGATGATTCTTGAGCAGGGGAGTAGTAATGCCACTGTATGCAAGCTATTTTATGAACTGTATGGAATAAACCCTTGTGTTCTTCCCATGTGCCAGGCATGTTCTGAGCCCTTTACAAGTATTGATTCCTTTTGCCCCCACAGCACTATGAAGCAGGCATTTTTCATATCCCCATTCCACAGGTTAGAAAGGTGAGGTGCAGAGCAGTCAGGCGATCACAGCAAGGACCCGGCGGAGCTGGGTTTTGGACTTGAGGAGACTTGGCCCTCTTCTCTTAAGCCTGGTCCCCTGGATTGGCCGGGGTTGGCCAGGATAGAGGACAGAGAATTAGGACCTTCAGGAGACAGTCAGGCAGAGCTGGCTGCTGACCCAGAGACGCAGGGATGGGTGGCCCCCAACACATCACGCCTGCCCTTGAGTACCTCCCAGGGTGGTGGCGTGACAGACTCCTCTAAGGCAGAGCCCCAACCCTGGGACCCTGTGTGCCTCACGCCATCCCTCCCGCTCCCAGAAGAGAGAGTCAGGACAGGAGACAGGATGCTATCCAGTCTGAAGTGATTTGAACCCAAACGGCTCTTCTCAGCTTCTCTGTCTAGCAGTGAGGATCCCTGGATCCCACTGAAGGCCTTTGGGGAGGCCCCCACCTCTACTAACTAGCCGAGCCCCTGTCCATGTACCGAGCAAAGATGGGTGGAGGTTCAGACAGCACATATGGACCAGATGACCTCTGATGGGGACACAGGAAGGTAGGGGAGGCACCCTCCTGGGCTCTGGGAGCAGAGGAAGCCCCTGGACCTTGGAACCTGTGCAGAAGGAGGTGAGAAAGCTGCCCCACTCTGGCCCTTCCTGGAGGCTGCCTTTCTTCTTCCTTCCAAGGATGCTCACGGAGAGTTCACACATCATACGGGGCATCAGCCCTGTGGGTCTCTCTGCCCGGAGAGATGGAGAATGAGATCACATGCAATGGGGATGTCGTTGGTTCCGTCTGCCTGAGGATGTGCAGCTGGTCCCTGGGCAGCTAGGGAAAGGGTCTGCATTTCCCAAAGCTGCTAAGGGGTGCTGCAATGTTGGGGTGTGGGGGCTTTCCTGCTCCTCTCACGCACTGTCGCCCCCTCCCATTCTTCAGATGCTCTAAGCGTCTTCGCTGGGACCTCCCGGGGCCGCAGCACCTCTGGGAGAAGCAACAGAAGCTGGGCTCTAGCCGCTGAGAACAGAGGCCTCCTGAGAATGGGTCTGATTGGGCCAAGAGGAGGGGGCAGGCCAGGGCCCCAGGGTGGGAGGATTCAGAAGGACGCTTAGGCAAGGATAGCCAAGGGACGGTGGACTCTATATGTGTGTGTGCTCAGAGGCCCAGGGCACTGGGAACAGCAGTCCTTTGGGGCCAGGCCAGCACTGGGGTCAACCTTGGTGACAGTCACAGACTCCTTAATTTCTTTTAGTCTCCGTTTTCTAGTCTGTACTATAGACTCCAAAGAGTTGCTGAGAAGATTGAAGTAGAAAAGGCCCAGGCTAGTGCAGTGCATTAGGCTTCCCTGGTGGCTCAGTGGTAAAGAATCTGCCTGCAATGAAGGAGACCCGGGTTCAATACCTGGGTTGGGAAGATCACTTGGAGAAGGAAATGGCAACTCATTCCAATATTCTTGCCTGGGAAATCCCATCAATAGAGGAATCTGGTGGGCTACAGTCCATGGGGTTGCAAAGAGTCAGACATGACTTATCGACAACAAGGTGCATTGCATTACAATACAATCCCTGAAGTCCAGAATCCCGACTCCAATCCATATAGGCTGTGTGACCTTGGGCAAGTCACTTAACCTCTCTGTGCTTCTGGTTTTGCCACTGCTGAATAAGGATCAGAGGAGTGTCTGTCTCTGAAAACTGCTGTGGGTTCAACAAGATTTAATTCAAGCCAAGCACTTGGCTTTTGGTGGGTACGAGGTACATCTAAATTATTAATATTGAAGGCAGGAGGTGTACACTGGACACCCCCGCCATTTTCTGGGGCTCACATAATGTGTGGCTTTCTTCCAAGTAGGTGCAGCACCCCAGTTGGCACCTTCCGGTCCTGCCCCCGGAACCAGCACCTAAGGTTCTGTAGATCTGCAAGTCCGTATGTAGATTTTCATTGTCATGGTTGAAAGGGCCTTTAGCAAATTGCTCCCGCTTTTTTTCCCTGGGCTGAACCCAGTCGATACTTGGACGTGATGGGTTATAAATGCAGCTAATTGGCGCTTCGGCGATGCCGGGCGATCACGGCACAGCCCTCACAGAGAACTGCTCTGCTCTGCCCTCCCCACTCCCACCCCGACTCCTTTGATCCACATTTCATAAGGGCAGCTTGCCCTAGAATTATGAGCACAGAAATCAGAGCAAGACTCTTCCGCGTTCTATTTCTGGCTGACACAGACGATGGCTGTGGGCAGATCACAACACTAGAATCTTCTCTGGAATCTGGGAAGTGGCACAAGTCACAGTGGCCTCGTCCTGCCCCTGCTGGGCCGTGGAGGGGACACCCAGGAGTGGGTCAGGACACCCTGGACCTTCCCTGCAGGTCACGCCCACTGGATTTCCTGTGCCTGGGAGCAGGGTCAGCCCTCCTCACCGCACTTCCGGAACAACCAGAACGGCCTCTCCGAACAGGGCAGGCACCTGCTCAGTTGTATTTGGTTCCCACTGGGCTAGTCAAGGACTCCCTGAAGACCTGAGGGCCTGGCAGAGACTATTCCGATGACTGTCAAAGCCCCAGCTCTGATCACAGACTGGGGCACTCCATATATTCCCGTAGGTTTGAAAGAATGAATGAATGAAAGAACAAGCAGTAGGGATTCCCCTGGACATTGTCTCCCTCCCTGCTTCTACATCAGGGATCTGGAGATGATGGTTCTCAGGGCCACTGGGGCCTTGCACAAAGACAGAGCCACAGTCTCCCTCATGCATGCAGTCTGAAGAGAGCATTTCATTTCTATAAAACAATGTCAGTGACTTCCATGGTGGTCCAGTGGCTAAGACTCCACACTCCCAATGCAATGGGGCCCGGGTTTGATCCCTGGTGGGGAAACTAGGTCCCACATAACGCAACTTCAAGTTCCCAAAGAGATCGCACATGCTGCAACTAAAGATCCTACAGCTTTAAGAGCTGCAACTGAGACCCAGCTTAGCCAAATCAATAAACAGTCAAAAATAACTAAATCAAGGGAAACTGAGTCAAGCCCCGTGAGCTCAACTCACCAAGAGCAGAAGGGGAAAGACTGGGTTGGGAGCAGCCCACAGCAAGGGGGCCAGGAAATCCCACGAAGATTCCCGAGGTAAAAGTATGTCAACAGCTTTTCAATTGTTCTCCATGCCAACATTCTCTGAAATACCCCGCTGGGCAGAGAAGAGTCCCGGATCCTATTTCAGTTCATCCGTGAGGACACTGGAGCCGGAGAGGCCACAGGTAGATGTCCAGACTGAGATGGATGTTGGGGAGGGAAGTTCTCCAAGGATCTCCTGGGGATGTTCTGGAAAGGATGGCAATGCAGTGTATCTCACCAGGAGCTCCAGCGTCCATTACCCTCATGCCAAGGGAGGCCTGGCAGGGAGGTCACCCCATTTTACAGGAGTGCACACTGAGGCCCAGGGCTCCAGGCCCAGCCCAGGTCCTTCATGGGGAGCAGTGAGCCGCCTCGCTCCTGAGTTGCTTCTACTAAGCTGCTCTGTACTGCATGGCACCACGCACCACGGGCCACCCGGAGTGAGGGTGACGCTCTTGTTTATGCTGGCACTCATGAGGCTGTCTGTGGGCAAAGCATAGTTCTGAGGGGCCTCCCCTACGAGCCCCAGCCATACCCAGCACAACTTCCCAGGACTCGTGAAAGCTGGTGGACTGGAGCAGGGGTGGGAGCAGAACTTTGGGACAAGATGCTTCTCTTCAGCATCCACATGCCAGTCCTTCCCCCACCCCCTCCCAGGAGGCTTGACTTGCCCAGGTCAGCCACATGGCATCTTGGCCCAGTCCTAAGATGAGCAGGGGGCTTCCCTAATGGTCCAGTGGTTAAGAATCCACCTTGCAAATCAAGGTACACTGGTTCGATCCCCAGTCTCGAAAGAGTCCCCATGCCATGGAGGAGCTGAGCCTGTGCACCACCACGATTGAGCCTGTGCTCTGGAACCCAGGAGTCACAGCTACTGAGCCACATGCCACAAGCACTGAAGCCCGAGTGCTCTAGAGCCTGTGCTCCGCAACAAGAGAGTCCACTGCAATGAGAAACCTGTGCACTGCAACTAGAGAGTAGCCCCCACTCACTCCAGCTAGGGAAAAGTCCCACGCAGCAGTGAAGACCCTGACCAGTCAAATAAATAAGATGAGATGACATCAGAGTTCTCTGGACCTGCAACGGCCTATTCTGTACACTCTCACCCCCAGGGTCCTACCTCACCATGCAACCCTCTTCTCAGGCTTTCTGGGGAAGAGGGGGACACATCTGTCCCCAGACCCATGTGTCAGGGGCCCTCTGAGCAGATGTATGGCTGAAATGCACCCTGGGGGGCTGTGGAAATGCACTCCATCAACCCCTGGGGCAGGGGAATACACTCACATCACTCTCCCCCTGAAGCCTTTCTCCCTGGAGGGCATGTCCATTCCTGGCTATCCCAAGGCTCTGGGGGCTCCCCCTCTGTTGCTATCACAGCTGAGGTTAGACGGAGAAGCGCTGGCCTCCAGGGAGGGAACTCGGAGGATGGGCAGCTTGGAGACGACACTGCTGGTGATGCACCCCCAAAGCCTCTTGGCAGATGTTGAGACCCCAGTACTCCAGGAAGGCTCAGACCTGAGACAAAGAATGGGGATAGGGCACCATTCCAGAGCTGATGTGGCTTTGTCTTTTTTTCTAGAAGCTCCAGGCTAGGAGGCCACTGTCTGAGCTCGTTTGCTGCTGCCCCAAGGAGGCTGAGACTCTGCAGGAGCTGGTCCTTCCGGAAATCCATACAAATAGCACCCAGTGTTGGAACGAGCTTGCCCCGTGAACTTCCATACATCGCCAACTAAGCTCTGGGGCCGTGGTCCCTTAAACCACCTGCTTCTTCCTCCTTCTCAAGCTGTCCCTGCAACTTTGACTTGACATGATGGCAGGCTGACTGTGCCCACGGTCCCTCCACCTGCCTGCCTGCCTTGTCATGAACTTATCTTTGCTTTCTCTTCAGCTTTATTCAGATATCATTGACAAAGAAAGTCAAATATAAAGCCTACAAAAGGATGCTTTGATATCTTTTTTTACTTTTCTTAGCTCTTGGGGGGCACTTAAAATGCCAAGAGGAGGCTGTAGCTCTTCCCCAGAGATGACATCTGGAAAGAGTCTGAGCAAATGTCAGCTGTTCAGTTACTTCCATAAACAACAACAAAATGTTCTTGTGGCAGAAGAACCACTTCTGGTTCTTTTAATTGTCTTTTAATTTTGGGAGTTGAATCTATGAGTGAAACTAAAGAGAGGTACCCAAGGAAGATGACATAATTTCTCCTTCTGGTTCTTTTAATTGTCTTTTAATTTTTGGAGCTGAATCTATGAGTGAAACTAAAGAGAGGTACCCAAGGAAGATGACATAATTTCTCCTTGGAGGAAAAGGAGGAGTGCAGGCAAAGTTTGATCCAGCCACTCAAGGGACAAGAACTGCTCAAGGACAGAGTGTGGAAGGCGGCTGCAGTGTTTGTCCTTCTCTGCACACCTTTGGATGCCCAACTCCACCTGCACTTGATAGAAGCTCCAGAAATGCCTGTTTCTACAGGAGCACAGGGCTGCCTCCATCCAACAGGTGTGGCCTCAGCAAGGGAAGGTGTTTTCCTCCTTGGGGGAGGCATCCTCCCCTCAGGCTCTGGCTCTGGCCCAAAAGGCGGGGCTCGGGTTCCATGGTACCCTCTCCAGCTGCAGAATGAGGAGGCCCCACATCGTTCCTGTGTCTGGACCAGCAGGTAGCACAGCACGCCTGCCAGGGATTGACATATCCAGTAGGAGAAGCTGTGGCTCATGTTTTTGCTTGTCTTTAAAATGTGCAAAAATGAGATGAGATCAAGAGGAAAGTAAGTGCTTCCCATCCCCTACTTCTTCTCCAGGCACTAGGCTAGGTGAGCTGCAAGATTAATCCTGGCTTTTGGACTGGCTATGCCAAGCTCGCTGCCTAGAATTCTCTTTCAGTGTCTTGCAGAGTCATTTTTTTCCCAAAGCCAAAGTCAACAACAACAGCAAACTTTACAAGAACCTCTGCCGCAAACATGCAGCAGACATGCCTCTATTCTTTCCCATCTCCTCCTCCAACAGGTTGTTAAACAATCCACATGTGATCAAAGGAAACTTCTAGAAACTTCTGTTCCTGGTGATAAGGAGGCCCTTCCCTCTGCAACAGTCTTACTAAACACCCACCTCCTCAAGGATTTGCTCTAGTGGGGCCACACAGACAAGAATGTCTGTGCATGCTAAGTCACTTTAGTTGCATCTGACTCTTTGCAACCCCATGTATTATAGCCCCCTAGGCTCCTCTGTCCATAGGATCTTCCAGGCCAGAAAACTCGAGTGGGCTGCCATTCCCTCCTCCAGGGGATCTTCCCGACCCAGGGATCGACCCCGCGTCTCTTATGTTTCCTGCATTGGTAGGCGGGGTCTTTACCACCAGCGCCACTTGGGAAGCTCATACAGACAGGAGAGAGGAGCTGTTTTTGGTTGGCAACAGAAGAGCCAGAAGAAGGGGAAATTTTTATGGGTTGAACTTTGCCCCTCTATAAAGACGCAGGGAGCTCAAACCAGTGCTCTGTGACAACCTAAAAGGGTGGGATAGGGTAGGAGATGGGATACAGGTTCAAGAGGGAGGTGATATAATGTACACCTATGGCTGATTCATGTTGATGTATAGCACAAAACTAGCACAATATTGTAAAGCAATTTTCCTCAAATTAAAAATAAGCAAAAATTAAAAAAAACACACACTAAAGTCCTAGCCTCCCAGTGCCTGGGAATGTGAGTTTCCTTGGGGGAAAAGGGTCCTTGTAGATACGATTAAGTTGAAGATCTCGAGATGAGATCATCCTGGATTACCTAGGTGGCCCTAAATCCAATGATAAGCTTTTCGAGTTGACTTGTGTCCCCCATAAAAGCCCAGTTGGAGACCTAACCCCTAGGACCTCAGGTTGCTCCCTTGTTTGGAAATACAGTCTTTGCAGAGGTCACTGAGTTAGAGAAGCCCAGCCCACATACTGCAGCTGGACTACCCGAGTGCCCCAGTGGGTGTGACCCCCAGGGGGACACAGACCCTGTCCAGGGTTCCTCTCACTCTGACCAACGAAAGGGAGATCTTGTCAGCACTGAGGTCAGGAGCCAGGCCACTTATTCATTCACTGGAGGTGCTATTTACGGGTAGGAAGCCGAGACAGCTCAGTGTATTAATTAATGATCCATCTCTAACTATTGATGTGCAATTTATTTCAATGATTTTTTTTTTTCCTGGGACATGAGAGAACAATGGGCCCTGAGCTGGGCAGGCTGAGAAGAGAATGGGAGCAGCAGCAGCCTTGGGGGTCCCCAGGCCCCGGGACCATTAGGGGTTGATGGAGAGACTGGCGGGGGTCTGCAGCCCGGACAGAGGTGACAGGTCCAGCAAGGCTGGTTCTGATGACAGAGAGCCCGCAGGAGGGTGGGCTAGGGGCAGTGAGGGTCCCAGGCCCAAGGTGGAGTGGAAAACTTCATGAGGAGAAGTGGCCAAGATTGACATTTGCAGGAAAGTTGCTTCTGTGGCCAGCATGTGTGCTCAGTCGCTTTCGGCGTGTCCTACTCTTTGCGACCCTATGGACTGTAGCCTGTATCTGAGGATCTGGCCAGAAGGACAGTGGGTACAAGTCTTTAGGATGAGGATGTAAGCCTGAGGATGTAAGCCGCCCTGCCCTCTCCACCTGCCCGGCATGGTGCCCACCTCATGGAAGCTCATGGCGGCAGCAGGGCAGACTAGAGTGTGTTCATTGCCCGGATGCTTCAGTTTTCCTAATAATGGGCTGGTGGCACCAGCCCGTCCTCAGCTACTGCTGAGACACCAGAAGAGCTGGCGTGCTGCTGGTCATGCATCGTCATCCATGGCAGCTCATCGCCTCCTGAGCCTCTGGGACCAGCGCCCAGTCTGATGTCCACTAATCTGTCAGTCCTCCGCTGGCCAGAGGTGTGCCCCAGTGTTGCCAAACAGGCAGCTGACAACTGACCACATTTTTGGATGTGGTGCCAGCCCCGGAGCTGGGGTCCACGCCTCCTACATGTCCACCCAGTCCCCATGGGGGCAGAATATACATTTCCAATAAAGCCTGGATCTCATAGGAAAGAGTAAGGGGCTCATTTCCGATGGAGTCTCTGCCAGAAGCAGGGCCAGTTCTGGTGTGGCTTAGAGAAGACTGTCAAAGGGGGAACTCCAGACGGCCGTTCTGCACACCCAGCACTGCCTCCAGCCTCGGGTAAAGGCTCTCACAAAGGAGAAACTGACTTCCATATGTGAAGGGGCTGCCATTTGTATCAGCTTACAGATAGAAGGCAGCATAAAGAGCCTGGAATGCTCTGTAAATTTGGCAAGTGTGTGTGTGCTCAAGTGTGTGCTCAAGTTGCTCAAGTCATGTCTGACTCTGAGATCCCATGGACTGCAGCCCACAAGGCTACCACAAGGCAACCCTGTCCATGGGATTCTCCAGGCAAGAATACTGGAGTGATTTGCCATTTGCCATTTCCTTCTCCAGGGGGATCTTTCCAGGGGGATCTTTCCAACCCAGGGATCAAACCCGCATCTCCTGCGTCTTCTGCATTGCAGGCAGATTCTTTACTACTTAAGCCATCAGAGAAGCCAAGAACCAGCTTGACTGGGCAGGTGATGGATGCAAAGCCCTGGTAGAGGGGATGCAGCTGGAATGGATTCTTCTATGTCTATTGACCAACTACTTAACCAGGCGACGATGCCAAGCTCACCTCACCCAGTGAAGGGCCACAGATGAGGCCCTCATCATTGCCAAGACCAGCATGGACAGAAGCTGCATTTTCCTTGCTTCTACAGGAGAAAATCCCCAGGCACTGCCAACCGCAAGCCAGAGCCAACGAAAGCCCTCCCACTGGAAAGGGCTGAATGGTAGCCCCCCAAGGCAGCCTAACTCCTAGAACCTGTCAATATGGCCTTATTTAGAAAAAGGACCTCTGCAGGTATAATTACATTAATAGTCTCAAGATGAGACCATCCAGGTTATCAGGTTGGACCCTAAATCCAATGGCAGGTGTCCTCATAAAAAGAGACACACACACAGAAGGAAGAAGTCTTGTGAGGACAAGGCTGAGATTGGAGGGATGCCGCCAGAAGCCAAGGATGCTGGAGCCCCCAGAAGTTGGACAAAGCAGAAAGGATGGTCCCCCCAATCTCCAGAGGAAGCATGGCCTGCCCACACCTCCATTTTGGTCCTCTGGCCTCCAGAACTGGGAGAGAAAGAACTTCTCTTGGTTTTTTGCCCCCAGTTTGGGTTGACTCAATGCTCTGGCCCCAGGACACTCAAGCTCAGAAGAAAGCTGGCCCATCTATCTGCAGCACGTGGGTCGGGGAGGGGCCTGGGACTCACGGGGTGCAAGGCTACCTCTGGGATATTCAGGATTCTCAGAGGACTGGGGCATCTTGGAATGTGGGGACATGCTTGGTTGTCATGACGACTGGCATTGGCTGGGTGAGGCTGGGATGCCGCCTGTCCTGCAGGACGCGGACAGACATGTGTCTGCTGACGGCCCTCTGTTCTGAGTGACTACAGATGCCCTGTCCTGCCGCACGTTTGGGCTCTGAACACTTGAGCCGGGAGCGCCTCCTTCAGCTCCATGCACAGATCCACCATGCTTCTGCATGATGTTAAGAAGCACCAAAGTTTCCAGAACTCGACCACCATGCACATCGGAAGGAAGCTGTATTAATCTGTCCCAGAGAGCTGCTCCCCATTTCAGAAAGTCACTGGCCTCAAGGCCCAGAAAGACACACCCATCTCAGCTCATGTGGCATCACGTTCCTGGTTAGGCCAGGGGTAGGGGAGTGGGGGGCCCTTTGAGCCCCTCCTTCTGCCTCCCAGTCATGCATAGACCAGCGTTTATTCTAAGTAACCTTCCGTCGTGTTGCCTCTGAATCAGTCAGGGCACTGCACGAGTTTTTAGAACCAAAGGTTTTGGCAGGCTGTACTTTCTATAGAAAGGTACATCAT